GATACAAATCTATTAAAGAAAATCTATTTGCCAGGCACCTCTTCTGCTTAAATGGCAATTTCAGTGGCTCTGCAATAATCCATATGCAGAGGCCACAGGTTAGTTTGCACAAACACTGCAATGACTTTGGTCAGGAACATTGGGTCAGATCCTTAGCTGGTGTAAGCCCACATGGCTCTATTTATTGGCATCTCTGATACATGTTGGGTTTAATGGAAGTGTCCAGGGTTTATCCATATCATGGCCTTATGTAGTGCCCAGCGGGGAAAACGCTTGTGTTGCCTGCAGACAGTGGATATGAACAAACCTTGTGCTCCAAGCCATAACAAGCTCTTCTCTTCCCCAATGCAAACAACCAATTTACATAACCTTTGTCATGCTCCACTGCCCAGTCCCTTGTCTTCTGGATACTAACAATACATTCTGATCTGATTCTTCCTTGCACTCAAGTTTACTGGTTTCACTTAGCACAGCGTGCTTCTACAGTAAAACCACACTGAAGTTTATCTAACAAAGCTTGGGTTCAAGATTCAAATAAAACAACGATGTGGCTTTGGAAACACATCTTTACACGTAAAAGAAAAAACACCTGTGCCTGTCTAATAAGGTATTTTCCATCCAGTGGTCAGTCCTCACAGCTTCTGTCCAGTCCAGGGACCTGGGATCCAATCTTCATAAACCGTTCCCATTGGCAGAGATCTGCCCCAGAATCAATAACACCTTCTGCCCTTTCTTCTTCTCTTATACAGTCCCAGACTTTGTGTTTCTTTTCACAAATCAAGCATTTCATGAACTTTAGCTCAGCTCTGAAGGTCCCTATTCAGTCTTCTTGGGTCTGAGAGAACACTCCAGCCTGCAGCTGTCCAGATTGAAAATGAGGCAGAACTGGGCTGAAAGATGTTGATTGCTCTCAACTCCTGATTGAACTGGGGAGGCCCACACCAGCTCCAGTGACATGCTTCATCTCCAAACATGTTTGAACAGAATAGTCTACCATTTACCTCTCTCAAAATAGTTCCTGTCCAAACATCTTGCAATAGCCACGACACCCAGCTGGTTCTTAGCTTTCAGCAGAGACCACACACCAATCACCCCCTGGTAAAGGATCAAGAAGCTGCTGAGCTATAGCTGTAACATTCCCTCTTGGGCACGCCTATGGGTCCATCTACACTGCAGTGTTTTTCCAGAAAAACAGCTGTTTTTCCGGAAAACCAATACTTGCATCCACACTGCCATTGAGTTCTTTTGACAAAGTCGAAAGAACGGAGGAGTTTTTCCAACGGCAGTAAACCTCACTCTATGAGCAAGAAGCCTTTTTCTGAAAAAGGCATGTGTGGATGCAGAAGAGGGAGTTCCTTCGAAAGAAGGGGCCTCCAGGAAATAACACAGGTGCCCTGGTGGCCACTCCAGACTAATCACAACTTAAATGCAAGAGAGCGTCTGATCAATGTGGACGCTATCTTTCAAAAAAGCACATCGCTTTTTCATTGCGCTTTTGCCGGGTGGACGCTCTCTTTTGAAATAAGCTTTTTCGGAAGATCTCAGTCTAGATGCAGCCTATGTCACAATGGCAGATGAGGGTTGGGCCCTTTGGTCTGATTTCACAGTGGGATTTCCATTCTACTTTCGACTTCTGAACTTGACTCCCAAAGCATTTCCTAAAGGAAACTTTCATTTGAGCCAGTATTTTTCAGCACCGACAGCCTGACTTCCAGATCCTATTAGCACCACCCTTGTTCAGAACTAACACATGTAATTTAGGGTAGAGGAATGCTGACTATGTGTTTGTCAAAGGCATAAATGCTTCTCGGGCACTGTAGCAGGAATAATTTCTTTAGCAGATTGACACCTCCTGCAGGAGAGAGGTACAGAAACAGACGCAGTGGGTTTTGATTAGTACAATGATGAAGAGCCTATGACTGCAGAGGATGCAGCCACAGCAATCCTCCTGGGAATTTCCCCACTATAAATACACATCAGAACTTACCATAAGCCAAACTCACCTCCCAGGATCAGTCTAGCTGCCTGGATCACACTCCTGTCTCTTTGCTATCAGGCTACAGCTGCTGCTGCCTTTTCTTATACACTTCAGAGGGGTAGCCGAGTTAGTCTGTTAAGGATAAACTTTAAACAACAAATAGTTTGGTAGCACTTTAAAGACTAACAAAACATGGGTATGTCTACACTACCCTCCTAGTTTGAACTAGGAGGGTAATGTAGGCATACCGCACTTGCAAATGAAGCCCGGGATTTGAATTTCCTGGGCTTCATTTGCATAAACTGGGCGCCGCCATTTTTAAATCTCTGCTTGTTCGAACCCCGTGCCGCGTGTAGCCGCGCGGCACGGGGTTCGAACGAGCAGGGATTTAAAAATGGCGGCGCCCAGTTTATGCAAATGAAGCCCGGGAAATTCAAATCCCGGGCTTCATTTGCAAGTGGGGTATGTCTACACTACCCCGCTAGTTCGAACTAGCGGGGTAGTGTAGACATACCCGTAGATGGTATCATGAGCTTTCGTGGGCAAGTGTTGTATGTCCAGAACCACTGAACTACCAGTCACACAGCACTCGCTGCTTTCTAACTACGAGACAGGGGAAATTCCCCATTCAGTTCTATTCTTTGCATCAGTTTGAAAACATAATATTGGCAGGGCCTTACAATGGCATCAAGGGCAATTTTTTTGAGACTCTGACATGTAAATCTTTAAATCTGGATTGTGCTAGGGGTTTGTATTTGCATAACGGAGCTGTTGGCCCAGAGCTTTCCTAGGGTGACTTGCCAATTCCTCATCATTGCTTCCTGCCTCTATTGTTCCACAAAAGCAAAGCAGCAGTTAGGATCCCATGTTGCAAGGCACTTATTTTACTGACCTTAAATGGGAGGACGTAGTGATCAATATAAAAGCTACCTAACCATGAGTCATCCCGTTCGCAGGGAGAATCCTGTCCCACCTGGTGCATCATGCACTGTGGTTCTGCTCCTCAAGGGTGTTGAGTAGATTTGTCAACATTTGTGCACACACATACTGGACAGATCCCTCAAGTCAAAATAGGGAAGCGGTTCTTCCCTATTAGTGAGGTACGAAGGACTAGGCAAAACTTTGACTGCATTAGGAAACCTGAGAACCAGAGCAAATGTTAAAATTCTGTTCTAATGGCTTTGGGGCATGATTTTCTATGACATTACACTACCCTGCTGTCAGAACAGCCCAAGGAGCCTTCAAGACATTGTGCTTCCACCAGCCCTTTGATGTTCATTAGCCAATTGTGAGTCTACAGTGAGTGGCCACCCACTCAGCAGTCCTGGTAGTTTTTAACAGCTGAAAGTCATAGGGCAGGTCTCGTTGTTGTTCCCTAGTTCTTTCACTAGGTGAACCTACTTCTGTTCAATTAGTGCTCTTTGGATTGTTTTAGCAGAACCAAGCATCTCTGTAAGGGTCCTCAACTACACTGCTGGCTGCTGCTGACACCCATCTATGCTCTGCCTTTTCTGTCACCTGCATGGTTTTCCTAAGTAAAGGCAACTGACATACTTTTCCTGCAAACTTAAACTATTTGAATACCCTCAGGGCTAAAGAGTTAAATATGAGTAACCAGTACGCCATCTAGCGGCGGGAACACAGCACCTGATTCCACAGTCATCGCATACAATACGTCACGGTGAGCACCACACCTGGAAAAAAAGACGACTTCGGGGTGCCAGATGTGCCTGTGCAGTGGGAACCACTCTTCCGCAAAGCTCACAGATAAACAGGCTTCATGTGCTGTGACTTAGGGCAGTTCTGCAAACACCCTCCTACCCGCAGATCCATGAGCCCTAATAAATTTCTGATGTGCTACGGGACTCCTCCTTGTTTTTACAACAGAGCTGACAGCATCAAGGGGAGGAAATGGAACACTGCACATAATGGTGATAATTTGGCTTCTCACGCTATATGCTGTGACTCCTCATTTCATGCTGGCAGAGATGATGATAGGTTGGTTGGGCAGGACACCCTCTTTTAATAATCTGTGTAGCATTATAAGAATCCCATAACAGTAACTCCTTTCTGGGCACCTACCTAACTTTTTAGGTTCATTTGAAAATCCCAGCCTGAGGCTTTAAGAAGCTCACTTTGTGCATCCGCTCTTGAGCTTTTAACACACTTGCTCATTGACAGCTGCCTTTGCATACCAATGTCAATCTAGTTTTTAAGCAATGCCTTGTGCAAATTTAAAGAGGGCACAACTTCTCAAGAAGTCAGACACCGAGCAGTAATATTACACGTTTGTTTAGTTGATTTCCCAAGCAATCTGCAAATTAATCCCTGCATTTTAAGAAAAGAGGATTAAGAATGAGACCATCCGAGCACTTAGATTACAACATGAACAATATTCAAAGAGAGAGGGAAAAAACCCAGGTGCAGCAGCATTTCCTTCCCCTCAAATAGGAAAGATTAGTGTACTCAGTTGCTACTCTAAGGAGAAGATAATGATATATAATTTGACAGCCACTACTCTAAAGGGAAGAGATTACAAACATAATAGCCATCTACAAGTGTCACGGAGGGAAAAGGGGAAGAGTCTATTTCAAAAGCAAATAAGACTGTCCTACATGCGTGCTGCTTTTATACACAGTATATATTTTCTGTATCACAAGCTGAAAGCTAAACATGTAGCAAAGATACTGAATTCTGTCCTGTCCTAGTTTGGGTTCTGCAGACTCTTACCAGAGATTTGGAGGTGTGTGTATGCACAGAATGGGTTGCCTCTTAATAGTGAATATTTCAAATCTCTTTAAACAAACCTCTCAGTTATGTGGTTTGTGCTGCCCCTACAAAACAGTGTCTAGATGCACTGGCTTCTTTCTCAGCCAGATCTTGAAATGGTTAGTAGTTATGGCTTGATTTAATTTGAAGAGATTAGAAGAATTCATTACAGAATAGTTTGCCAGATAAGAGTTTTGCATAGCCACTAACTCAAGGCCAATCACTTCAGGAAACAGACAAAAGAGAATCACATGATATTTGCATTATTATATTTTAAATACGGTGTTTGATTATACAAAGAATTGGTACTGTTGAGTTTACAGAGGATATGAAAAAGAGGGGATGTGACAGAGATATACAAAATAATGAAAGCTGATGAAGGTAAATTGGATGATCCTATTTAAGACAAAAACAAATGGAAATGATGAAACTGAAAGGCAGGAAGCATAACACTGATACATGAATAGTTTTGATGTCAATTGTTAATGACCCTGTGAATGTCATTGCCATAATCTCGTTGGGTAGGTCTACACTATAGTTTTTTTCTGAAAAAGCTACATAAATTGCATGGAGGTATCCCGGAAAACCCCGCAGTGTAGACTTACCCATTGAGACAGAGCTTGGGAGAATTAAAAAAAAAAAAGATGATATTTACATAGGTAGAGAGAATATCCTCCATTATGCTCCATACATCTGAAACAATCCTCAGGCATCAGGAATTAAGCCAACCATTGACTGACCGGGCTAGGAACAAGCGCAGGTTATTCCATATATGTCCCTTCTGGGGACTCTTGTATCTTCCAGTGCTGGCCACTATCAGAGACTGGAAACTGGACTATTTGGAGCAGAGGTCAGATCTGGTTTTAGAGGAGCTATGGTGCCAATGAATGTGCTTTCCTTCCCCTGGACATGGGAGCTGCACTTTGATAATGGGATGAAAGATTGTCTAGTCTCTTTGAATAATGTTTATTAGAGAAGGCATAAGCAACAGCAAATAGAATACCACAATATTAACAGCCTATTCTCAAAAACATTTGGGGAATTCAAAGACCTTGCACATATTTCATAGAGGAGTTAAGGATTGCCATTCCATTGAGTTCCCGCAGTCGAAGAATATGCCTGCAACAACCACAAAAGAAAGCAAGGGTCAGATGCCGAGGATGGTATATGACTGACAATGCAAGAAATCTAACTTCCATTGCCCTATTGCATCTCATGCACAAGCTGTCAGGAAATGTTAATGCCATATCCAATAGATTTCCCCATAAGAGGAAAGCAAGACAATGCTTTTATGTTACAGTTCTCCACACAGCAGGAAGAAATAAAAAAGCATTAAACACAAAGAGATACTTTACAAAAATGTCCAAGCAGCACAGTGGGTTTTAATCTATTGTGGAAGACATCTAAGATTAGCAGAAGTAGTAGAGTGAGGTCTATCCCTTTGACTTCATAGCAGCTTCTGATCAAAGGTTTGTGTTATATTTTCTCTGCTGAAAGGTATCAATTTGGGAACATTGCTCCAACCGGCAGGAGTGAAGTAATCAATTGGGAAGCCTAAACCTTATCCACTGATCTTTATATAGTAGCTCAACAGGTATATTAGTATGTTCATGCTCTGCTCCTATGACTGGATTGCAGGATATATAGTAATTAAGGGGTGATACGTGGTCTGCTAGCACCGCTCAGTCTCTCTGCATACATTCTTTCCAGACATTTACACTCTTGTTTTCCTCTCAAGTCACTTCTCTGACCTCTACAGTTCGTCAAATCATACTTCCTCCTTCCATTCTTTCAACAGAAGCAACATTCTTGTAAAACAATTCCCAGAAAGCTGTCCAAGCAATCCAAAGCGAACACCACAGAAGTCCAGTGTCTCCTGGCTTCAGTGCAATGCATAGGCCCATTCACACAGCAAGGCAACTTGGACAGTTAACACTCTGCAGGCAGCAAAAGTAAAGGGCATACTTGCACTGTGATACTGACTACAGCTAGATGGGTTTGGCTGGAGTTACTCCGTGAGCAAATATCACACCAGCTTAAACTCTTGGATGCCCTACCCCATTCTGTCACACTCACTCATGAGCATTTAACATTTTGTATTGACCTTTTCAAAGCATCGCTGAGGCACCCCAAAGCCCTCGCAGCCCACCAAGGAGGAATCAAGGCTCCCAGAGCATCTGGGCTGCTGAAAAGCAGGAAACCCTGATTCCAGGCCAGTCTGTCCAGGGAGCCTGAAAGCTGGGGATTCCAAGGAGCATGTGAGTTGGGAACAGTTTCCCAACAACACTGAGGGTATGTTTACACTACCACCCTAGTTCAAACTAGGGTGGTTAATGTAGGCAACCGAAGTTGAAAATGAAGCCTGGGATTTAAATATCCCAGTCTTCATTTGCATCTTGCCGGGCGCCGCCATTTTTAAAGCCCCGGTAGTTCGGACTCTGTGCCCGCGGCTACACGTGGCACGGAGTAGGTAGTTCAGATTAGGCTCTCTAATCCGAACTACCAGTACACCTCGTTCCATGAGGAGTAACAGTAGTTCGGATTAGAGATCCTAATTCGAACTACCTACTCCATGCCGCGTGTAGCCGCGGGCACGGAGTCCAAACTACCGGGGCTTTAAAAATGGCGGCGCCAGGCAAGATGCAAATGAAGCCCGGAATATTTAAATCCCGGGCTTCATTTGCAACTTCGGTTGCCTACATTAACCACCCTAGTTCGAACTAGGGTGGTAGTGTAGACATACCCTGAATTATTCTGGCAGAACATTTTGATTTTGTGGAAAGCAAGCTTTTCTATCAATTATTGCTGCAGAAAGTTCCAGGCCAGCTTTACTAGCCAGTGCCCGTGAATCTGTTGCAGCGGAGTGAAGCTACCACATGCCTAATGATGCTCCAGAAGCTCTGGCAATGGAGGAACGAGTCTGTGCCGCTGCAGCTACCCACAAGGCTCCAAGCAAACCGACTATGAACTTGACAGCATGTCCCATCCGTCCCTACACTCAAGAGAGAGGGTGAGAGCTCTGCACTCCCTATCAGGTGCTGCCCAAGGAGATGTGGGTGGGGGAACTTTCAGAGAATTCCCATCCCTGCCCAGATCAGCACACGGAAAACAGGGAGAGGAGACAATCCCTCCTTCAAAGGAAAAGGAAAAGGAAAAAAAGGAGAAGGGAAGGGAAGGGAAGGGAAGGGAAGGGAAGGGAGATTTCAGCCACCCTATGAGCCGATGAGAGCATAGAGAGATGAGAACACTAAATGATGTACTAGCCATGACTAAAATGAAATATGGAGTCTCCAGGCAGCACTCAGGCACAAAATCTTGGTGAGACTCCCAGCTAGAGAGAAGTTGCTGGCTTTTTCACAGTATCTCTAACATACACGGTATCTTCATGGCTCTGGGAGCAATGGTGTGCCTAAGTCCTTGATACCAGCTCACCCATCTTTCCCACAGACCACTGGTGGCAGGGTTAGCACTCTAGCTATAAGGAGTCTGGCAAGTCTTTCATGCCAGGCTGCCTTGATTTTTATTAGGAAGATGTCACACAGGCTGGATGATGCCCAGGGATAATAATCTGCCCCATAATACCTTGGCTCGGCAGTACAGAGCTTTCCTAAAGCAACTGCCGCATTCTCCTGCACTGAGGTTTCTTTGGCTTCACCGCCTGCATGTTTTAATAAGATCATCACAACGTTGGAATTCAGCAGGGACGATGCAGCTCCAGGTACTTCGAAGCATTTGCTGAGGCAAAAAGCAGCATTCCCCACCACAATCTCATTCTCAGAGGCCAAGAGCTTCAGTAACACATCAAACTCTGTGAGAAGAGAAAGGAACAACTTGGAGGGGAGGGGTCATTGTAAGTACAGCAGGGGGCCAGGCCCCGGTGGAAATAGCTCTTTGGATACCGATGGTAGAATGGAGTAGCGGCACCTGATACCAAGCGGGCATCAGTAACTATTCAGCTCTGAGAACTGGGCAGAAAAGAAAATGCAAATTAAAGGAGGGCTCAGCAAAACAAGGAGCATGCAGCATGACAATGCTGCAACATACTGCGTTGCCTCCACCCCAAGATGCAGTTGTGGGAGCAGTCACAGGCTGCTTGCTCTGTGGAGTGCATAGCCAACCACAGGCTCTTAGGCTCTGGGAGACTGTCAACCACACTGCTTGTGCCCACTTCGCTGAGCATCACTGACACCTGGCCCAGAATAAACAATGTAGTCTCCAATCACAGCTCAGTGGCAAATGGAACAGGAGGGAATGAAATGCATCCACCTCCCCTTCTTGAGCTGAGGGCCAGATGCCATTTTCATTAGGGATGTAAGTGTAGCCGTTTAAATGGATAACCATATGAATGAGCTTATCTGTTACCCAAATGTTTACACGCGGCACCTAGTCTAGTTCCTGGGGAGTCAGCTGCCACTCTGGGCTGCTGCCATCTGATACAGAGGCAGCAGTGTGGGGCAGCAGGCAAGAGCTGGTACACATGGGGAGCCAGCTTAAAAGCCAGCTCTGGGCACACACTGGCTCTCAGGGAATTGGCTGCTGCCCCATGTGAATTTTCCAGTGGTTACATGGTTAGCCATTTACATGCATTTTAACATCCTTATTTCCCATGCAGAGAATTAATACCATTCTGAGTGTGATCTCTTTTCTCTCCCCTGAGCATCCTCCCTTCGCTCTGTGCCTGCTAGCCAAGGAGTCCTGAACCAAATGTGAAATTCAAACTCCAAGCAACATAAGCTCAGTCTATGGCATCTACAGCCCCAGGCTGGCCATACCACCCACCCACAAGGCAATGCATAGAGTCAGATCCTCAGCAGGCCTAAATCAGCACAGCTTTGCCAGCTCCAGGGGAGCTATGCCAATGTACACTAGCAGAGTATCTGGCCCATTATCTTAATAAAGAGCCATGGTGTTGTTGGCAGCTCCTGCAAGCAGCAGCAGTATCTCTTAGGGCCACAGAATCAAAGCAGCATTCAGAGATACTGCTTTAAAAAAACAAAAACAAAAAACAAAAAGTGATGTCTTTCTCCTGCAGAAGATTCCCCAAGGGCTACGCAAATTTGCTGTGATTTTCTTACATTGTCCCTTCTGTTCGTCCTAATCACATCATGCTTTCCCTTTTGTTCTGCTGTGACAATAGCTTCGGAGAAGCTGGGCTGCTCCAAACTGCAGCAGGGGCACCAACAATGATCCATTTCAGAAAGCTGAACTTGCTGGCCTGATTGGAATGTAGCTGAATGTCAGAGAACTACAGTTTGACCCAAAAGTGCTCCCAGCAGCAAAACCAAATCTGGGCTGCTAAACTGAGCTGACAATATAATGTGACTTAGCAAAAGATGAACACCCAGCGCGTGGCTGGAAAGCAGCACATTGTAGCATAATAAGTATCGGGAAAAAAAGGAAGCTTCTCTCCACACACCGCATCAATTAACAGTACTTAATATGGGGTATACAAAGGAGAGAAGATGCTCCAGGGGGCTTTTAATTAGCCAGAGTCCTTAGGGTTCAAGTTTTTCCCTTGCAGCTGCCAGCAAGGAATTCTCTCAGGATTTCTTTGTTCTTGGCCAGTGAGAAATAAAGACCTAAAAACCTAGAGATCTGTTCTGAAGCCCCCCACAAGAATGAAGTTGAAAACAAACCCCAGTTTCATTACTCTCTTTCCTTGTCACTTCATCTGCTCACATTAATAGGGCACTGTACTGTATCCCATTACCCAGCCGAACAAAATGGAAAGAAAAGCAGAGTTTGGACTTAAATGATCTTTTGAGTTTATCAACGTGATCTGTATTCAGTCTCTCCTTGACAAATAAATGTCAAGTCACGCAACTAGGATTGAGGTCTCTGGGGGTACATCTACACTGCACACTTATTTCAAAATAGGCTATTCCGAAATAGTTATTCCAAAACAGTTTATTTCAAAATAGCTCGTCTACACTGCAGGGAAGCCTCAAAATTAGTCCGAGGCAGGCATCCCTAATGTAGACGTGCTATCTCTATTTAGAGCCCCAGGAGGCACTAGGGAGGAATAACTTAGAATGGCCCTGGTGAGGGGCTATTTTGAAATAGCAGAAGTGAAGCGTCTACACACGCCTTATTTCAAAATAGCTATTTCAGAACAAGCATTATTCCTCGTAGAATGAGGTTTACAGATTTCAGAATAAGCCATCTGTTATTTTGAAATTAATTCAAAATAACGGAATGGCTGTGTCGATGCTCTCATTGTTATTTCAAAATAATGCTAGTTATCTCCAAATAATGGTGCAGTGTAGACGCAGCCCCAGGCTGCTAGAGGAAACTCTAAAGCACTCAGCCATATGGGACAGTTTTACTCAGTTCTGCATCTGAAATTACCAGACAGAGAAAAGAAGCAGCAGGTTAGACCCAGTGGATTTGTCAGGAGATCTAGATTCGACTTTCATCTTTCACATTGACTAGGTAGGTGACCCTGGGCAAATCTCTAGACCAGGGGTGTCCAAACTTTTTTCAAAGAGGGCCAGATTTGATGAAGTGAACATGCGTGAGGGCCAACCATTTTGCCTGACATTCTTTGAACCATTAAAATTAAATGCAAATTAACTATTTTATGCAAAGTTTATTGCAAACGGCATACTTTTCATTTCGTCACATGGATGACAAATCTAAACGGGTGTTAAATCACTCTGCCTTTCATATCTGAAGGCCAGATGAAAAAAAATCCAGAAAGCTGAAATATATGTCAGGAACATTGTAAAGTACATTACATATTATTGGTAATAAAGGTTGTCTGTCAACTTTTAAATTCAAAAAATATGAACAGGAACATAACACCAAGTATACATGTTGTGTCCAAATATATTTATAACTGATTTAGACCATCTGACATTAACTGAGATTTTACAATGTATTCATCTCAATACATATGGATTCGTTGGGGGCCATAAAAGATAGATATTGCCAAATTACCTGTGGGGCCGTATTAAACCGGAACACGGGCCGCAATTGGCCCCCGGGCCGGACTTTGGACATGCCTGCTCTAGACTCTTCTCAAGCTTAGTTTCTCCATCTGTAAATGGTGGATAAAAACCACCTGCCAACTTTTGTACAGTGTTCAGAATTTAAGAGTGAAGAGTACTACATGAGGGATGATTCTTAATATGACTGTGATACACAATGAGGTGAGCTAAACTTGTATAGATAGAAGGAGCAGGATGAAAATTCTATAAAGATGCCTCCAGAGAGCCAGAGTGTTAATTTGACAGAAAGGAAAGGGATACTTCATATGAGCAGAGATCATCAATGTGAGGTGGTATGCCCAAGAAGAGGAAAGAGAAAGATGAGACATCTGGCATCTTTGTCAATGCAATGAGGCATAATTCCAATCTGAGATAGCCACGCAAAGAGAAGCTCAACTACAACAATGGCAATCTTCAGGAATAGTAGAGACACATTTCCACAGAGTCCAGTAATAACATAGGCCATTGGACCAAGTGATCCAAAAGGTGCTGGCCGGGTTCAACCATCTAGGCACAACACAGTTTCTGTAGACTGGGGTGGACTAACTAAAGCTAGGTTTTAAAATGTTCTGAACAGTGGTGCTGCATGCAACCACAAGCTACATATTCAAGTGCTGATAACTCAGAAATACCTAAAGGTGACAATACAAAGGAAACATTTGATAGTGACACTCCCTCTGTTATTTCACTTAGGCCAGCCTTCCAAACTTGCTGTCCAAGGGAACTGGAGCTGCATACCACCTCTAAAAGTGAGACCACTTTGATGGTTGTAAATAACTTTCTTCAGCTACCCTCAATGGGAAATTGGAACCTATTTTTTTAACCTTTTCTAATAAACTGTTGACTGGTTTCCTTCCAGAGAAACATAGTTCAATGTATTTCTCCAAGTCTGGAGATCTACAGATCAAGCCATTTTACTCAGCGAAGTGCAGCCTACATATCCTATGTTCGGATACATTTCCACTTGCACATGGCTGGAAGAAGAATGAAGCATTAAGCCAGGAAGTGAAATGACGCATTGTTCTGTAAACATGCTGGTATCCTTGTGGGAGTTCAAACAGAATTAATGCTCACCTCCATTCTAGAGGAAAGAGGGCTTCTGTGATGGCAACCTTGGAATAAACCTCTGCATTCAATCTTTGGCTAATAAAATTGTCACTTACTTTTATCTGACTTCACCACCTCCTCTCGAGCCTGGCTGTTGCTTCGAGTACACACAGCAAGGGTCTTTATAGCATAACTGGAAGTGATCTGTCCACCAGCCTGGATTTCAATTAGGATATAACAATACATATATAATTTAGTTCACACAACTTTTGCAAGAATAGAAAGAACTTCACAAGTACACAAATTGAGAGACCTTTTTAGGAAGTGCTGATAATTTATAATCTCCATCGCTCTTTAAACCCACCAGCTCATAACTATGCACAGACATGGATTTTCAGTGATTCAAACCTTCATGCTATAATAATCTGACCTTTAGTAGGGCTATGTACACCCACAGGAATAAATCTGCTATGCAAATTTATATTAAAGGAGCATTGTCATAAAAGAATAGCTGATAAGCAAATAAATCCATCAAAGAGCTAGATTTACTACCCAGCAAAGGTCTTTCTTTATACTTCCATGTATGAAATTCATTGGTTCTCTCTACTCTGTGAGCACTGCAATCTTAAATCACTTCAGAGATGAAAAGCTAACGTATCTCCCATTGAGTCACCAGCCCAATGGATATTTTTGGGTTTGGTTTGTTTTGAAATTAAGAGCTCTAAGCACGTGCACACGGGGCATGTTATCTGATATCTAAGACTACAGAAACTAAAGTGGCAAAAGCCATCCTTCTCCCTGCACAGAACACACAGGTATGAGTGTAAAGCCAAAGCTCTGGTATTGGATTCATTTCAAAATTGAGAATTAATTCTTTCATTACCATGACAACAGCAGGACCTGGTGTACTTTTCCATGTCACTTATTATTTGTATTACAATAGCATCTTGAGTCCCAAACAGTCAGGATTCTGATCTACTAGATGCTATACAGACACATTAAAATTATTGCCCCCTGGCTTGTTCTGGCATTCATTTAAGAGTCAATGGAAAAGTTCCTGTTTACTTTCATGGGCTCTCAACCAAGCTCTCTATGTTAGGATCTGCATCAGTGGATTTCCGTGTTTGCTGAGAGCCCCCCCGACCAAAGTGGGGCTACTGATGAGCACTAGCATCTGCCCACATGGACACAGTTACAGAATTGGGGCTGTAGTTAAAGACAACAAACAACAGATGGGTGAAACATGGAAAAGGAGAAGGCAGCATTGTGTGTTTGTTCTCTACCTGCCTAAACCTTCTTAGCTGGCATTGGTCTGCTGGAAGCATCACAGCAGTGAGTCTTAGGAAAGGATTTGAAGGGAGACTGGTCAGTGGCTTTACAGACTTGGAAATATTTTATTTTATCTTTGAAACTTTGGGCACTGGGTAAGGACACTTTTATGAGTGTTCAGTTAGTGATATAAACCCATCTGATTTATACCAGATGTAATATTTATAAAAAGCAATAAACCGTTTTCAGTCAGTCCTGTAAGTTTCCTCTGTGTATACTACACATTTTTACAAGTGTTGGTCAAGAAACAGAAAAGAGAACATGCAATAAATATAACAGCGTGTGATTTCTTCCCTCCCAGGGGAAACCCCAGAATCTGTGGGAGAGCTATGAAGTGGAATAAGTTAAGTAAATTACCTTCAAAAATCTAAGCAGTCTCTTTACCACACCTCCCTTCACTGCCTCTTCTACTGCCATTGAGCTTGCTGGCAAGATGTGACTTAGAACTCCAATGGCTCTCTTAATAAAAAGAAAAAAGAAAAAGGCAATGATTAACATGCCCTTTGTTTGTGTAGGTGGCTGGGTAAGACCAAAGTAGCAATTAAAGAGGCAAGAAAAATATGTATCAGTATGGTTCATATTAGTTTTGTCAGAGGAGAGATGATTCCTGGCTGAAACTTCATAAGCTCCTACCAGTTTGCCTTGGAAGAGCTGACATTAATGGGAGTTATACACACATATGAATGGGGGTACAATCGACTGGTTCAAGCATGACAGTTGAAACAGAAGACACCCAGTCTGCAGTTGGTGCTTTGCTTCTGGATTAATTTCCCTATCTCTGGAAGACTTTTAACAGCTAAAACCATCCTTGTGATAACATACTGTTAAAAAAAAATCCCTGAAAAGTTGTTCTATTCACAGAAGACAGAGCCTTTGACATCAAAATAAGCATCTCATCTGATGAAGTGGGTTTTACCCACGAAAGCTCATGATATATTTGTTAGTTTCTGAAGTGCCATAGGACTGCTTATTATCAAAAATACAGCAAGGCAGAAAATTAAGTTCTATTTGTGTTCTAGAGCAATAATATATTGTAATAAAATCATGGGTTTAGGATCTTTATGACCTTGATCCTGGTTGTGCAGGTTACCTTGATTGGAGCTACAGAGATAAATCTACATGAGTGTGATAGGTTGGCCTACACAATTCAGCAGTAAATTCAAGGCTTGAACGTGCTAATTTAGTGTGGGAAGACTGGTTACACAATCTTCTCTTAGCTCACAGGTTCCACTTACTGTCACAATCCTTCCATCCTTACTGCCAAGTAGAAACAAACACTTCCTGCTAACATCCACAGCATGCTCCTGAAACAATAAACAGCATTAGGAATTCAGATCTAAAGGGTCACAATCAAGTTTAAATTAGAAATGGCATTAAGAAGGCAATCACATGGCAGGGAAGCTTTCAAGGGAGATTTCCATAGGCACAAATGGCAGTTAGGCATGTAATTGCCAATTGTGCAGGTGAAAATCTCCCCCCTTGATCCTTATAGGCATGGGTAGTTTTGGCTTCAGTGAGCTTTGGATCAGGCCTCAGACTTGCACTCAGGCAATATAGTTAAGGTCATGAAATGGAATACAATGCTTCCTTAGTGGAGAATTAATAGGATCGTTCAGATTTCACTGATCAGGTTGTGAGAGGAACTTTACACTGCACTTTCTGTGCCACAGAATATTAAAAAGACACTAAATGTTTGTTTAAAAAAAAAGTATTCAAAGATTCCAGAGTTCTCTTTGTATTGCCCAATTTTCCCTCTCTGTAAAATGATTAGAGACTAAGTGCCTTGGTAGGACAGAATGTCAACTGATGGAGAGCTAGCTCCTGAAGGACCCCTGCCCCGGTTCACTGGCAGGCTTGATATATAACAGCCATTTGTAGCAGATATGCCTGATCTGTAGCAGTGTAATTAAATTTACTTCCCAACGCAGATGGAGAGGTTCTCAGTGTCCACCTGTGGGATAAACAAAGCAGCTCTTCCAGCCTCCTAGACTATTTGAATGCTCCGTGATTGCAAAAATTAACTTCAATAGGCCCTGGATAAGAACCATACACAGTTATGAGAGAGAAAGGGTCTGCAACTTCCTGCACCTTGGAGGCTCCAGGTAAGTGGTAAAACAACCAGAAATCTGCTTCAGAAGGTGAGTACGCCTCACATGCCATACCTGAATGACCAAATTTGATTCAAGGGATAAGTTCATTATCAGGCCCAGCACTGTGAACAAACACTCTTGGTACCCTGCTGAATTGCCAGTGGAGCAACAGTCATCCTGCACAGAGAAGAACAGACAGCATGTGACTCAAAATGAACAGGTGCAAAACTACATATGTCCTCAGCCCAACTCATCTGCCTACTGATCAGTGATTGTCAGAGGCTCTGAGATCTTTTCTGAACATGCTGTTGACCTAGTACAGTGGTTCCCAAGGTGTGGTCCGACTGTACTGCAGGGGTCTGTGGAAAGTTGGGAGCTGAGAGGCTCCGTGCCAGCAGCAAGCAAGTCCCTCAGCCTGCGCTGCTTTCACCTCGGGAAGCGGAGCAGGCTGAGGGGTGTGCAGATTGCAGGCACAGCTATATTGTTGGGGAGCGCGGGAGTCCGTAAAATTGTAATAGATTGAAAAGGGGTCCAGTATGCTGGAAAAGGTAGGGAGCCACTGATCTAGTAGTATTCATTATGTTAATTACCACAAGCTTTAGAAAGGCCTGCCAGCATTCTTGGTTTTCAGCCATCTGCAGTCGGATGATTACATCAGCACATAGGTCCCCCATGATGCCAATGCACTGGGCAAGGGCTGGTTGGTTCACCTGTTTGGCAGTTTTCTTGAAAAACCAAAGGTGAAAGAAAGAATATTCAGGACACCAGTGATGAAACAATAATGAATTGCAGGCTGCACCTTTGTTATTCTTGTTGCTTTAGCTGTGAAAACAGGAACTCTGTAATTACTCCTCTCATATACATCACTCTGGCTGTGTCTAGACTACATGCCTCTGTCGGCAGAGGCATGTAGATTAGACACATAGGCAAAGGCAAATGAAGCCGTGATTTAAATGATCGCGGCTTCATTTACATTTACATGGTTGCCGCGCTGAGCCGACAAACAGCTGATCAGCTGTTTGTCGGCTCGCGCGCT